TCTGGACAGGATTTTAAAATCATGATTTTCTTTTCATGCCTACAAATATAATGACAAATAATAAAGTATTCTTAAAGTTATGGAGATTTCTGCACTAAATGTGTCATTTTTGATCGTTCTTGAAAATATTTCAAGAAATTGCTCTTTGTGAGTGATCTCAGTAAAATTACAAGAGAAAAGTAATTTGTATAAGCATCCAGGAGTTAATGTGCCACTGTTTGATTGATTGATCGATTTGAGATTTAAGGACAAGTTGTTTTTCCTAATGATCTAGTCTTAATGATTTGTCTGTCCCTGCAGTAATGATGGCTCAGAGTTTGGTGGCTCCATCTACCAGAAAGTGAGTGATAAGCTGGAGACAGCGGTGAATCTGGCCTGGACAGCAGGAAGCAACAGCACACGCTTCGGTATTGCTGCCAAGTATCAGCTGGACAAAGACGCTTCCATCAGTGTGAGTGAGCTCGTATTGCTTTTACACAAATCATACGTTTCAGAAGTAGGCACCCATTTGTTTTTGCATCTGATCCCATAAAATAACATATTTCTAAATGTACTTTCTCCATAATAATAAAGGGTGTAGGGAAAAATTGGTTCACTAATGTATGCTGATGCTTTCTTGAATGGTTCTTAATCATAATTATTAAATGATATTATCAATCTGCAGTGTCCTTTATACCACTGGTATGTACACTGCTTTGCACATTTTGTATGTCTCTCTTATTTGACACACTGTTTAGTTCATGGAGCTCTCTCCTAATGAGCTGATGATCTGTGTTAAATAAGCGATACGTATAAAATGTGCAGAGCAGTGGGTCCCCCTGGAACGGAATTGAGAACCACTGCTTTATAGCGGTGTAAGGTGCACTTACACTGTGATAAATTTACCAGCCAAACCCAAAAAGGCTGAGTAACCTTTTTTTTTTATGGCATCTTACAAAACAACCAATCAATTTCTTGCACCATGATCTATATTTAGAGGAAGTAAGTGTATTTACACAAGCATTACAGTAAGAGGGCACAATGCATCCCATGCTCAAATGTTGATCAATAGCTCTCCTACACAGCCAAAGATGTGAGCTGAATGACAATGACAAAGTTTAAGGCTATTGTAATGCAAAAAAACAAAAGCCCCAGAGCCGTCTCCGATTTTCTGAGAGCAGGCATACTCTGGTACAGCTTTTATATCGATTCTACACACTGAATTTAGCATCGACTCACAGTAACTTGTGAAAGATTTGTGCCCCTAAAACTCAGAATGTGTTTGTGATTTGAATGTTACATTTGGCTTTGCATGTGAGCATTATGTCAATATTTTCCTCTCTATTCAACAGGCTAAAGTGAATAACACCAGCCTTGTCGGTGTCGGTTATACTCAGACTCTGAGACCAGGTACAGTGATGAGTTTCTCTATATGAGTTTCCTGTATTATTATTTACACTTGAGAATTTATTAGTGAAAGCCATTGATTTCTTTTATTTTGTATCTCACAATAGTTTATAGTTGGTAACATCATCTGTCCACCACACAATATGATTCACTTCGGCTTTGGAGACTGATAAAATAGGTTGTTTAGAAATACAACCCATTTATGTGGTTAAGATGCTGTAAAAGCTGCAGTGATTACATTTGTGATGGCTTTTCAGGTATCAAGTTGACCCTGTCGGCCCTGGTTGATGGAAAGAGCATCAATTCCGGAGGCCACAAGCTGGGCTTGGGCCTGGAGCTGGAGGCCTAAACCTGCTCCTGCTTAACTTCAGGGACAAGGGAATATCAGAGAAATCTGGCCTTAGCTCTAACTCCAACAGCAACCAGCAGGGGGATTCCAGATGGAATGGGATGTGTGTAAAGGCTCATCAAAAGCGATCATGTTTCTTTTTGTCACCTCCTAATGCCCTTGTTTGTTTTTCATTTGTAGTTGTTCTCTTCTAGACATTCAGCTACAAATTAATTTCTTCATCTCTCTCCAGCACTGCCACAGTAATGATATACTCTCTGGGACGGAGGGCGTCTGTGGCTTTCTGTTGTGTTCCCTTCTCAGTTAGCCGGTGGTGGGTTTGGGGTGGATTTGTGACAAAACTGTCTCTGATTTCATCATTTGTATTGTATCTGATATTCCTTAGTCGTCTGAATGCGATTCAAGCAACCACTTAACTCTGTATTAAAGGTTATACCTGCTATTATTTAAATACTGTTATACTGTTTTTTCTTTCCATGCACGCAAGGACAAGCTTAAGCAGTTTATTTTTCCTTCGGCAGCCTTCTGGAGTAACCGTTGTATGTGAAGTCTGCCCTTGAACGGAGCAGTTTTTGGGTAGCCTAATGGGGAGATAAACGCTGGTGCTCCTGTGCTGGCATGACTGGCCTTTTGTTTTCGTTTGCAGCACAGACGACTATCCGTGGCACACCGTGATGGCAGAACGGGTCTTGTGGGTGTGGTTTGAGTTCAGTACCCTTTGCTCCCCGTGTTGCATTATGACCTTAATTCCCTGAGACCATGCATTCACAACACCTGAGAGGTCCTTATGTGTATGTTTGAACTTTTCAATAAACTATTTGAATTCATCTATGACATTTTTTGTTGCTTACAAAGCAAATTGGTTCTCGTACTATAAAGTCTAGCTCAGAAATATGTTATACCCAAAAACGATGCTTAATGTTAATACTCTTAGACAGCAAAATTAACGGGCTTATTCACATTATTCGCAAATGGTAGAAGAGAAGCATCTCATATCTTTCATTGACAGAATTCATGTCACATAGTAAAAAAATAGTCTGGTATGTTGCTTGTGTTCTATTTTTAATGATTGTTTCAACTCTAAATGGGTCGTCAGTTTTCACATTTGATTTAATCCTTCCATTTGTACTGACCTATTTAAGTCTAAAAGAGTTGATATTGTAATTAGGCCAACAAGGACAAGTTGTTTATTATGGTTTAATATGACAGCTTTCATTTAATGTGGGTTCACTGTTACTGGGAAATATCACTTATGCTAATTATGCATTTGCAAAAGTTTTCAATTTTCTTGATCATTGTGTTATCTCTGTGAGTGGTAATATTAAGTGTTTTTCTTGTTATTATTATTATTACTTTATTAGAGTGTCTACTTTGATATGTAAAAATGGTGCTGTCTTGGGTCACCATGTAACACTACCACTGGAAATTTTGATGTTGGTAGGACTTTGTAATGTTTTTGAAAAAGAAGTCTCTTATGCTCACCGAGGCTGCATTTTTAAAACATCCAAAATACAGTAACAACTGTAATATTGTGAAAATATTTAAAATAAGACATTTCTTTAAATATATTGTAACATTTATTTTTTCCTGTGATAGCAAGGCAGAATTGCCAGCAGCCAGTCTTTAGTGTCAGAAATCATTCTAATATGCTGATTTTCTGCTAAGAAATTGATCAATAATAATAATTTATGCATTTAGCCCCAGTCTTTAGTGTCAGAAATCATTCTAATATGCTGATTTTCTGCGAAGAAATTGATCAATAATAATAATTTATGCATTTAGCCGATGCTTTTATCCAAAGTGACTTGCAGTGCATTCAGGCTATAAATTTTTTTACCAGTATGTTTATGTATGTTAGTATATGATAAATTTTGAAATCAGTCGGTCACCATGTAACACTACCACTGGAAATTTTGATGTTGGTAGGACTTTGTAATGTTTTTGAAAAAGAAGTCTCTTATGCTCACCGAGGCTGCATTTTTAAAACATCCAAAATACAGTAACAACTGTAATATTGTGAAAATATTTAAAATAAGACATTTCTTTAAATATATTGTAACATTTATTTTTTCCTGTGATAGCAAGGCAGAATTGCCAGCAGCCAGTCTTTAGTGTCAGAAATCATTCTAATATGCTGATTTTCTGCTAAGAAATTGATCAATAATAATAATTTATGCATTTAGCCGATGCTTTTATCCAAAGCGACTTGCAGTGCATTCAGGCTATACATTTTTTTACCAGTATGTTTATGTATGTTAGTATATGATAAATTTTGAAATCAGTAATGCAGCTTATTATTTTTGTGGGGACTGATACACTTTTTCTTTAATTAATAGAAAATTCAAAAGAATAGCATTTATTATTTTGTAACATTATACATTTCTATACCAGTGGTTCTTAATCCTGGTTGTGGGGACAAACCCCCACTCAGCACATTTTGCATGTCTCCCTTATTTAACACACCTGATTCAGATCATCAGCGCATTAGGAGAGAGCTCCATGAACTGAACCAAGTGTCTTTGCTGAATAAAAGCATTAAGTTCTTCCAAAAAGATCCTGCTGACCCCAAACATTTGAACTGTACTATGTGCAATGTGAAAGGGTCCTGAAGTAAAACCACCTGCCAGCCACTGCTCTGTCAACTGTGGAACTGTCAGTATCCAGCACTGGTACGGGCTTTGGTAAAGTGGATGTAATTTTTTTTATCACTTCAGCTCAAGATGATATATTTTACCCTGCCTCAAAAAAACTGAGATGTCTTTAAAAAATTGCTGCAGGGTTTTTCTGGGTAAAGAAACCTTAAGTGAGTTCCTAGGAAACACATACAATAATTAAATGTCTTGTAATCATTTATAGATGAATCGCTGCCATATTGACAAGGGAATATTTAAGCTTATGCAAGTACTGGTTAGCAAGTGTTGCAATCGATAAGTAGAAAAGCAGCAGAGGATGAAACACCCACATTACCAAACAGTTTACAAAACTCAATACTGTAGTTCCTCTATAGGAAAAGCTCTTGAATTAACATACTGTCAAACACCGATATGCTGCAATATTTATTCAGTTAATATGTAGCATTGTTTTGATACATACATTTGGCTGATCAGAGCGAGGGACGTAGCAAAATAAAATCTTATACATTCCTCATGATTCACATTCATTATGTACACGCAGATCACAGTGTACGCATGCATCTGCATCAGAAACATCACACTTCCTGAAAGCAGTTTCTAAAAGTCATGCTCAACTGAGATCGTCTGTCACGCAATTGTAATTTATATTAGATTCGTCAAGGGGGCTATTTGAACATTCTCTTTTCTCATTTTTTCCCCCCCTGCTGTTTATATTCTACATTACACTAGAGGGCTTAGTTGTTTCTTCTGGACCTTTGATGTCCACGTTGTCCTGCTTGCTGCTCTCTTTGACCTGCTCTGTCTTCTACAGAGCTTTAGCTTCTGTTTTGGTTGGCGTCTCAGATTTTGCAGACTTCACTTCATGTGCACCGCTGACTTTTGGGAGTTTCTTCATTTTTAACATCTTTGCTGGTTCCACTGCCTTTGGTTGTCACACTATCCACCTCTACAGTTTTTTCAGGCATCTCCTCTTTGCTTTTTTTAATATCCTTTTGCTCAGGCTTTGCATCAGATGTTAATTCCTGAGCGTTGGGGGGTTGATTACTCAGTATTTCATCAACCTGTTTCTCTGTGACTTTAGCTTGCCCTCCGCTTGTTGTTGCACTTTCAGAACTGCTATCGCTTTTGCTCTCCTCCTGTTTCTTTGACTTTTCAGGTGATTTTTCTTCCTTATCTTTGGAGAGGTCCTCCTGTGTCTTTTCTGTTTCTTTCGGCTTAGCATGTTCAGCCTTTTCTGTTTTGATGCTGTCTACACTGTCACTTTTGCGGACTTCCTGTGTCTGTGACTTTTCAAGTTGTGATTTTTCTTCTGCAACTTTGGAAAGTTCTTCTTTTGTCTTTTCTGTTTCTTTAGGCTTAGCATGTTCAGCCTTTTCTGTTTTTACACTGTCACTTTTTTTGTCCTCTGGTATCTGTGACTTTTGAGGTCGTGATTTTTCTTCAGCAACTTTGGAAAGGTCTTCTGGTGTCTTTTCTGTTTCTTTTAGCTTGCCAGTTTCACCCTTTTCTATTGTCACACTTGCTAGACTACTACTGCTTTTGCTGTCCTCCTGTTTCTTTGACTTTTCAGGTTGCGATTGTTCTTCTGCATCCTTTGAAAGCTCTTTTTGTGTCTTTTCTTGTTCTTTAGCCCTGATACTTTCACCCTTTTCTGTTTTCATGTTGTCTACCAGTTCAACTTTGCTATCTTTTACAGACTCCTCAGGTTTATGTTCCTTTTCGTCTTCACTTGATTGAGCCTCTTGCTTTTTCCCCACAAGTTTCTCTGTTAGTTTGTTGTTATCCTCTTGGTCTTTTCCCATAGGCTCATATTTCTTAGTTTCTTCCTTTACAGTATCAGATTTGTCTTTTTTTGCAGAAGTGTCCTCTTCAGTAGTCTGTTTTCCACTCTCTGTATGTTCGGGAGCTGCTTGTTTATCTGGTTTAGGAGTATCTTCCTCTACAGGTTGCACTGGAGCTAATTCTTTCTCTTTCTCTGTTGATTTTGCAGTTGTAGATTGTTGAGATGAGATTTTAGCATCTTCAGTTTTTGGAGAAGTTACCCCAACGGTCTCTCCACCAGGCTTAGGTTTTACTTCAGTTGTTGCTTCAGGATCTTGCGGTTCCTGAGATGGTTTGTCTTTTGGTACAGTTTTTGATTTCTCTGGTATTTCTTGCTTTTCTGACAGATCTGGTTTGGGAACATCTTTCTCTGTCTCTTCAGCTTGTTTATTTTCCTCTTCAGGTTCTTCTACTTTTCCCTGCACGTCATTCTTCAGGTCTTTGTGCTCTGTGCCTTTTGCATCTAATTCCTCATCTTTATCTTGTTCATCAGTGGCTTGTTCTATACTTTTCTCTCAAAGTGTTAAACTCTTCCTCCAGGTTCTGGCGGTTTATCTCAATTTGATGCTTTTGAAGGCCTATCTCATGAACTTGCTGCCTCAGACTACTAAGTTCTGATTCATACTCTTTGGACAGAGAGGCAGAGGATTTTGCTCTCTGTCTAATGGCCTCAATTTCTTTCTCTAGCGCTCTGTTTTGGTTTTCCAGGTGATGAACCTTCTCGATGAATCCCGCGAAGCGGTCATTGAGCCCCTGCAGTAATTCTTTCTCACTAATTTTCCTCAGATTCTTTCCACCTGCATATTTGTTTGAAAAATCGAAGCTTTCTGCCGGTTTAGCGGCGAATTCGCTAAGGATTGCATTACCTCTCAGCGGTGCTGTGGACCCAAAGCTAAAGGCAGACTTTGAGGTGAGTTGTGATGAAGGACGTGCCGTTTGGTACCGGTACTCTTCCCGTGTCCGGCCAGATGAATGAAGAACACGCTCCATTGTGAGGCTGGTGCGTTTTCCTTTGCAGCGTTAGTGAAAATGATTCCCTTTTATATACTGCAATAGATGCTAGGTTAGCGGAATGGAGCTGCCCATACTGGATAAATGCACAGAATCAGCTGTTCAGCTCAGCATCCTGCGCACTCGCTCACTCACTCCTCCTCCGCCGATCTCCAGGGAACAGACGTGGCGTCACATGAACTCCTCACGTCCGCAGATTCCCAACTCATATGCTGCTTTAAAATAGTTTTAGCTGGCGAAGCTAGAATACACATATATTGTGAATGTACAGAAAACGGCGCTTTAATGCCATTTATTTCATTGTCAAATTCAGAAATTCTGGGAAAAAAAAGAAATCTCGAGCCTTTCCATTAAAATCAGTAGCCTATCCGAGGAGCACAACAATTAGCCTAAGTCTTGTAAATATTTATTTAAATATTACTTTTTATAACAATCAAGTAATAATGTACCTAATTAGTTTTAGTAACAAAGTAATTAACTTTTTTATGTGTTATTGATTATTTAAATCTAAAGTTTGCTCAGTATAATCCCCCTGCTTATTAAAATGATGTAGGCTATAATTACATAAAAGTATAATGACATCATCATCCTCTCTTTCAGTGTTTGAACTCCTCAAACACAAGTAAGTGCCTCTTTTAAAAAAAAAAATCTAAATCAGTAGAGTACAATCTGTCAACACTGTCACCATGTGTACAGAAATATCAGCATTAAATTCTATTTATATTAAACACCTTGTAGTGTCATGACCTTCAGCTGAGGTTATCAATGGCTTAATGAACCGTAAAGCAATGTTACTTTTAAAAAGGCATAGTTAGCCTACTGTATTCCCCATTTTGGATTACACTTTAGTTTGGCGATCAGTTCTCACAATTAACCAACTATTAACTATGACTTTTGCCTCAATAAACTTACTGCTAATAGGTAGTTAGATAGTAGCGAAGTTTAGGTATGGGGTAGGATTAAGGGATCGAAAATATGGTCAGATTTAATAAAAATAAAAAATAAGGAATTAATATGTGCTTTTAAAGTAATAATATAAACAGCCAATATGCTAATAATATGCATGATAATAAGCCACTATAGTGAGAATTGGTCCCTAAACTTAAGTGTTCTCCTTAACTTGTATTAAAATTTTATAGCCTATAATGTAGCTTGAGATGGCAATTTGTCACTAAGGCATCTTTACACAGCTGAGTTAAGGCTGCTCAAAATTCTGTGTAAAGACATAATGTTGCATAAAAGCCATACTAAATTATGCCTGCTCTGACCTGCCTCAGCCCCTAATATCAAAGTATATGGTTATCATTTCTGTGTAAATGGATTTAAGCCACCTCTGAGCAGCATTAAACAGTATCATATATGCAGTGTAAATGTGGCATTAGAATGTTTAAAAACTTTACATATTTGTTCTTTTTAAAATTGTTTTCTTATATTTTTGGAGATGTTCTATTGTTGTCTGCTAATGTATTGTTTTTCTGGTTTAATACATGTAGAAAAATCCATATTATATTCCTGCAAGCTCAGCAAAATTGTTATATACTGTAGGGTATGTGATTTTCAGCAGAGCTGTGACAGCTTTTAATCTATGTTGGTGTTATTATATAACAACACTACTGTTTCATCATATTGTCAGATTTGCAGATGTTTTACTGCAGTAGCATCATTCTTCAAGCTATAATGTACATGTTTGTGCTGCAGAAAAGCACAAGTCAGCTCTACATTTTCGGTCATGCTGAGCGGTCACTGAGCTGGAATCAGTCCAACAGCACAGCTTCTACATGAGCAGCCAATAACAACATAAGCACCACACGTCTGCCTTCTCATGTGAGGGCATCTAGTTTAGAAATAAGTACTTTACATTTACTATAACATATTATTTATATAGTCTTGACACCATTAGTGCTTGTTTCTATTTAACATATTTGTCATTTGGGGGGGGGGGTAAAGATTTAAGATTCAAAAACCCTGGTTTCCATAAAAATAATAAATAGATTTATTTTTATTGATTGATTGAGACCGTAAAATAACTCACAAGGTTTGTGTGTGTTTCTTGAGCTCCAGATAAAGCAAAATTCCTGCAGCTAATTGAAAAAATTAGCAATTTAGCTTGTATTGGCTGCATATTTTAAATAAAAACGACAAAGTAAACAAGTTATTGCTTAGTTCCACTTAAATAAAGATGCTGCTGTGTGTTTCTTGAGCTCCAGATAAAGCAAAATTCCTGCAGCTAATTGAAAAAAATTAGCAATTTAGCTTGTACTGGCTGCATATTTTAAATAAAAATGACAAAGTAAACAAGTTATTGCTTAGTTCCACTTAAATAAAGATGCTGAACTCTGACCAGTTGTCATGTTAATTTATCAACATAATTCATCATATTTTAGACGCTGGAACAACTAAAACCACTGATAATGTTCAATATTTCCTTCAATTCAGATACAGCAGTGCATCATAAAGTGGCATAAAGGAAAAAAAAATTCATCATGAAAAACTGCATTACATAACTGCATACAATGTGTGTACAAATTGAGGTTTAACTTGAAAAGACAAATAAAGACTATATTATGTTAATGTTTTTACACAAATGTCTGGTTGTCATCTACCTGGCAATTAATTGATTATAATGAACATTTGGAAAAACAGATTATATACAAAAAAATACATTTATATTTTATTTAACTCTGCTAACACTCAGTGGATCAAAAAGGAAACAGCAGAACTATTGCTATGGTCATTACATGAGAGAAGATTACGACTGGAACTTGAACAGAGATTAAATTTATCTCTCCTAATCATCTTTGTTCTCTGTTCTAAAGGAATGAAAGAACGTCCGGATCTCATATGTGTCCCGTCTGTCATGCTGAAGGACTTTCCTCAATCTGTTTTTGCATGCGATCCATTCGGTGGACACTCGCCCCAGCATCATTCCTTGTTTATAATGCTCAACCGCAGCTCTCTCTGAGCCCAACCTGTACTGTTTGAAATCCCCATACATGCGATGCCAGGCTTGACGGTCAGCTGGCTTCAGGTCAGGAAGGGCAAACAGCTCAGTGAACTTCTGCTCTGCTTTAGCCATCTGCTTTTGTTCTGCATACCTCAGCGCTAACTCCAGTCGTGGGTATATGTAGCCTGGGTTTAAACTGGTACCCTTCTCTAAATGGTGAATGCAAAGGCCCAGCAACTCTGGATTGTGTATGTCATTCATCTGCATGGCTTTCCAGCGGTAGTTGTTGGCAATCTCATGATGTAACCATGATGAGTCTGGTGCTATCTTCAGCATTTCCAGCAACACTTTCAGGGCCTTGTCATAAAACTGCTCTTTCTTCATGAACTTTGCAACATGCAAAACAACGCTGAGGTTATCTGGAGCCATCGTGAGCGCTTGCTTCATGTATTGCCATGCCTCTGTGCTATTTACGTTCTTTGTGTTCTTGTAGCACTTAAGCCCCAGATACACATGGATCATTGCATTGTCCGGGTCCAGGTTCAGAGCTTTCTTCAACTGGAGCACAGCAGGAGACTCTTCAAATCGTACACGCTTGTATTGACCAATCTTCAGTCCCTCCAGACGGAACAGAGAAAAGGCAAAGCCTGTGTTCCATTCCTTGTCATCCGGCTCTTTCTGTAAAGCTTCAAGGAAACTCTCCTTGGCCCTGATGTAGGTCTTTCTAGAAAACTTGAGAAGCGACCAGGCTTTTTCACTTTGAACTTCTCTGTGAAGCTCTGTTGGAGACGGAGCAGGGAAAGCTCTAAGGATTTCATTTACTTTCTCTGTGTAAGTCTCAGCCTCAGTCACATTGCCCATGAGACTGTGCACCCAGGCCAAGTTTCCATACGTCACAATCACATTGCTGTCATCGTCCGGATGTTCCTTCTTTGCTAGTTGCAGGTTCTTAAGCGCCTCGTCATTAAATCCTTGTAAATGTTTAATAAAGGCCAAAAAATTGAATTCTCTTTGTTTCAGGTTTCCTCCATACTCGCATTTCACTGCCAGTCTTTCACGAAACTTTCACTTCGAGAAAGTTAAGGTCAGCATCTTCCTTTTGCAAGTCCCAAGTAAAGTGGCAGGACAACAGTTTAAGCTTGTCCTCAGACATTCCTGTATTGTTTAAAATGCAAAATAGATGCAAATGTTTAAACTCTTGAAGTTTTTCTTTCTCAGTTTCCTTAAATCCATACAGTATAGTATAGCACATGGGGAGCAAGACACACACAAAACATGGAACAGAGTCTGACAATCTGACTGACAGCTTATTTTTTATGACTTACAGAAAAACATTAAATGATCAGTAAAATATAATTTCCATAGTGTTTTCTTAAATATAATTTCGAAATCAATTAAAAAGTATTCTAGATTAAAGGCATTCACTGATATAATTACAGCATATTTATAGTAAAATTGTTTCTATTATTGATGTAGAGCTGCTTAATTTATTTACTTATTGATAGAATTATTAGTCACATTATGAAGTCGTACCTTCTACAAATCTCCGAGTTCCTCATCCAAACGTTGTCTGATTGAACATAGTCGCCGGGAGGGTTTTTATAGGGAAGGTTAGGTTACCTAATTTTGGGAAAGTTTCACTTTCCATCTATTGCTCTGATTAAGGATAAACGAAACTGTAAGTGTACAACGTCAACATTACAACCCAGTAAAATGTAATACTGCTTCAGTTTATGCGTGCCAGTGAACAGTTCTAGATCAGATAAGGGATATGTAAAATTACCATCAGCGACTTTAAAATGTATTTAATAAATTCGCTGATATAGCTACGTTGATCTAATAAGTTGATCTTACAAAAACAGTTGTGACTGTAACTTTAAATATCAATGAAATACTGTAAAGTACAAAAAAAAAAGAGGAAAATTACAAATAATCATGTTGCACACAGTACTTAAAACAAATAATTAAGTTGCACACAGTTGAGTAAGTAGCCTACTAACAAGTAAATAGAGGTTTTCGCACAGGACAAAAAACTTGAAACCGAAGAGTAATGACGCCATCTAGTGGAGAAACTTTATTGAATTAGCTGGCAAAAAGATTATTATTATTATTATTATTATTTTAATAATAATGAGATTTAACCTCCTTTGCTTCAATGTTTATTTTTCAGCTTAATAAAATATATTCATTTTCTTGGCCACAGGTCATTTTTTTTTTCATGAACACCAGACAGTTCTGTTGAAAAGTTATTTGTGACCCTGGACCACAAAACCTGTAATAAAGTAGCACAGACATATTTGTAGCAATAGCCAAAAATACATTGTATGGATCAAAATTATCGATTGTTCTTTTATGCCAAAAATCATTAGGATATTAAGTAAAGATCATGTTCCATGAAGATATTTTGTAAATTTCCTACCGTAAATATATTAAAACTTAATTTTTGATTAGTAATATGAATTGCTAAGTACATCATTTGGACAACTTTAAAGGCGATTTTTCTCAATATTTTGATTTTTTGCACCCTCAGATTCCAGATATTCAAATAATTGTATCTCGGCCAAATATTGTCCTATTATAACAAACCATTCATCAATGGAAAGCTTATTTATTTCAGCTAATTGATGATGTACAAATCTCAATTTTGAAAAATTGACACTTATGACTGGTTTTGTGGTCCAGGGTCACATTTATTTTAAAAAAGTAGATTTTTTTATGTAAGTCTTTATTTAGATCATTTATTTACTGTTAAATAATCTAGATTATCTTTTGATAGCCAGTGTCCGGCCATCTGCAACAGTGAGCATACTGAGATCAATCCGCTCGTCTTTGTGTAACTTCTTGTTCAGTTTGTCTATGGTCTGTGAGGAAAGGTCATCTTCAGCTGGGTTAATGACCCGTCCACCCCAGAGGACCTGAAGAGCAGAGACACCAGTTTACTCGTAGCCGAACAGGAAAGGTGGGAATATATTTGATTTATTCATGACAATATTTGTAAGACCATTTAAATGAATCCGTAAGACCTAGCTGGTTTTACAGGTACGAAAGGTACAAAAGCTGTCACTAGGGCGGTACCTTTTCAAAACGTACACTTTTGTAGTGTATTTACAAATGGGTTTGTTTCAAAGCAAACTAAATAGACTGTACTACATACTTACATTTTCAATAGCTACAATGCCACCCTTTCGAACAAGCTGGAGTGACTTTTCATAGTATGTTTCATAATTCTTCTTGTCAGCGTCAATGAACACAAAATCAAATGTTCCAGCTTTACCAGCAGTTAGGAGTTCATCTGTAAAGACACAAGGATGAATACATAAAAAATGATATATTACAATTGTTTTTCATCTTTACCCAAGGTTTCAGCTGCAGGTTTAATGCGAATATCTATTTTATCTTCCACTCCAGCCTAAAACAAAAAGTGTTGGAAGTTAATTTTACATTGTAAATCCCTAGTGAACATCAAAACATTTTTATCTTTGCCTTTCCCAGACATATAGGGTGTTATTTTAATGTCATATTATAAAACTATAGGATACAAAGAGAAAATTGTAGACAAAGCACTTTGATGTTTAGCTTTGTGTAAATATCAGCACCCAGGTGTACATTCACATCTGTCTCTATCAGCAATCAGTGTAGGGTCTGATGGACATTTCTGCATCTCTGCCTTCAATCGCTACTGGTCAGCTGGGCTTTATACTGATGACTGTGTTCTTACAGTGGCAGGCAGTAGTCAATATCGAAATTGAGACATGTGTAGGTGTATGTGTATGTGTATGTGGAGGAGCAACTTAACAGATACAGTGTCCTAATAAAACTAATTACTCCAACTGCATAAACATGCACAGAATACTTTTACAAACTTGTTTTGCCTTGGTTTACCTCCTTAAAAAATGGCTTGCTTATATTCACGTATACCTCATTAATTTTGCAGGCCACCACGAGTCCATTCTCAGGAACTACCAGAGCCAGATTTAAGGCGTTATATCCTGTGTACATTCCTAAGACAGATGCAAAATGTGTTTTACAGGTAAGGAGTGAAAAGCAAACACATGATTTTCATGATTTATGTTGCTTTCACTCACCAATCTCAATAGGTTTATTGGCTTCTATGAGTTTTGCAAGGTTAGCCATAAACTGAGCCTGCTCAGCTGCCACCATCATCAGGTTTTTGGGATCCTCCATAGTTCTCTTAAAGGGGTCATACGATGCGATTTCAATTGTTCCTTTCTCTTTGAAGTGTTACAAGCTCTTGGTGCATAAAGAAGATCTGTAAAGTTGCAAAGACTAAAGTCTCAAATCCAAAGAGATATTCTTTATAAAAGTTAAGAGTCAACCACGCCTACCTAAAACGGCTCGTTCTAACACGCCCCCACATACCTACGTCACTATGTGGGAAGATTTGCATAACGCCGCCCAAATGTTCACACAAAGAAAGAAGGCGTAACTTATATTCTCGCTGTAGTATTGTTGTTGCAGCC